TGCATATGCTACTAACAAATTTAACAAAACAAGGGTATCGGCTAAGCTAACCATTTTGTAAATCCAGCTTGCCTGTGCTTACGTTAACTGGGAGTTTTTATATTGTGGTTGTGGTTTCATCGTGATCCTTTTTGCTGTGGGAAGTTACAGACAAATGTGACCGACGTGACTGCAATTGCTATCAGTAACTCCAACAACCTTGACATTGTGAACCAAAATGCAGCCACAACACAAATATTTAAAACCGTCATTAATCAATAACACCTGAATTTTGGATATCTTCTTGTCATAAGACCAAGGACAAAACAAAAACCTAAACAATTTTCTCCCCTCTTTCCAATTACATTGCACATTTAACATTGTAACTGCTCATTACTTGAATCCACTCCTTATATACATGATATTGTTTTAATTTATTACCGGCATTACCATCACTCGATGTGTGTTTGTTTTACTTGATTCTCGTTTTCTACAACGAAAATCCAATGCACATGACATTCGCGTTCAACGGAACTTAATGAAAAAACAAACATACCCACAGAAAAAAAAACACCACACGGAGCAAAGACAAACCTGATCAATCCATCGTCAGAAACATAAACTCCTTTCCCATGAGCATAGTCATCCCAAATAGTCCCTTCATACCTGAAAAAGTAAAGCATAATCTATCCAACAGCAACAAATACGTAGCATATTAAAGTGAACATAAAAAAAAAAATAATCATGTAAGTGTTATAGTATAGAATGATACACATACGTGCTACCATCCTGGAAAACGTAGCTAACCCATTTGAGGAACTCCTCAATCCTATCCAACTCTTCGATAGCATCCTTGGGAGTGGCAATGTCGTAATGGTTATCGGGAATTGGAGGGTAATGTTTGCGGTAAGGGAGATAAAATGGTGCAATGGGAGGGTCTTCTCCGTCAGCAAGCTGTTCGTTGACGAAGCGATACTCTTCCTCGGTGGCCAAAGCAGGGTCCCACCCCGTGCCGCTAATTTCTGGGACTCCATCGGCCCAAAGCTCCCGCAGATCCTGCTCGGTCCAGTTCTCGGGGTCCTCAGGGAAGTCGAAAGGGTTTTGCTCCTCCGCAATCAAGGGGTCGAGTTCCTCGTGCAGCTCCTTCATCGCCGCGCTATCCAGCGCCCGGGAGAAGTCTCGGAGGTTTGTCTCCGGGTTATTACGCTTGTCCTCCTGCGGCTCCTCCTCTTCGTCTTCGCCGCGGAGCTGTAAGGAACGCCGGAATTCCTCGTCCTCCGCCTCGTCGTAGGAGTAATCGGAGTCGTAGTCGGAGTCTGATTCGGAGTCGGAGGGGGCGGCATTTTGGGGGTCATTGGCGGAGGAAGATTCTTGCGGTTGGTCTTCGTCGTTGGCCATTTGGGAACGAAACCGTTAGGAGAGTGATACGATAGGATAAGGTGAGTGAGTGAAGGAGAGCACAATATTACAGAAATGCTATCAGCTGCTACTACCAAGCGATACAAACGACCATAGAGGGAAAACAGAAGAGAAAGAGGGTTCTTCCCATACGACAATTTCCTCTGTCGTTTCACTTATTCAACTCACTCATGGAATGGTCCTAACAAACTCTCACTCTATTTTCTGGAGTGAAAAAATTAGGTCAAGATTTTGAGGGTGAAAAACTTTTCTAACATCTATGCTAAGTAATAAAGTAAGAACATTGCACATTTTGACCATTATAAATAATAATTGCTTAGTCCTTATCTCACATAAGTAATTAATCTAAACTGAATCAAAGCTATTTAATAAACTATATTTAATAATTTAATATCCATTTTATCTAAACCTCCATAGACATACATACACATGAGTTCGTTTGTTATTACCAAAATTAAAATTAAAATTAAATTTTCCTCTAATACAAAAAGAGGGCAATTTTTTTTTATTTTAAATACATTTTTGTCATCCTATTCTGTCTCTTTTGTAATTTTGGTTTCTCCAATTTAAAGTTGTTTTTTTTTAAATCGTTAATTTTGTTCAGATCTTCAATTTAGATTTTTTTTAAATTGAATTCTAAACCTAACATATATATTTAAGTTACTATAAAAATATATAATAAAATAAAATATAAGAACCTTTAATCTTTTAATATGGATAATTTTTATTTGAGTATTTTAATATATTTCCTTTATTTTTTTTAAATTAATATCATTAAGTTTATTCTTTTTATCAATTTTTTCGCTTAATTTAAAATATCTTCTATAAGAGTTTTTAGCAAAAATTATTTAAAAATAAATAAAAATATTTTATTATAAAATAATAAAATTTTTATTTTTATTTTTAAATAACTCTTATTAATAATTTCCATTCTTATAAGAGATTTGATATGTTAATATTTTTACGTGAATCTAAACAAAATCACACATCAAGTTTTCTCTTCATTTTACATTGGGCCTCTACGAGTCTTACGGTTCTAAAGTCAATATTGGGCTAAAGCCCAAACTAGGTCCTAATTGGTAAGGGACTTTTATTTTGTTTGGAGGTTATATTTGAATTTTGAGGCGTATCACATGAATAATTAAGAGGAAAAGTAAGTGATAAATTGTTTATTTATTTATTTCACACTTTATTTATTTTTAATTTTCCTGTAATACATTTTTAGAAAGGGAAATTTGAAAAGAAAATAATTTAAAAAAATTATTAACAATCAAAATAATATAATATAATAATATTCTGATATTATATGTCAAATATTTTTTTAATTCTTATATGTATATATTAACTATATTGTTTCCATATTAAAAATTATGAAAAATTAATATAAAAAAACCATAAATTAAAGACGAAATATTATAAAAAAGGACAATTTATTCATTTGTATTTATAACGATGTTTTTAAAATCAAAACGTGTATTTAAGGTTTAAATATTTAATTAAAATTCTATTAAATTAATAAAATAATATTTTTAGAGGTTAACTGAATTTAATAAAATAATATTTTTTTAATATAATAAATTTATTAATAATAATATTTTTAAAAATAATAATAATAAAGATTATTGTTACTTTTATAAAGAATATTATAAATATAAAATATATTAAAAAGTGTAAGATGGATAATTGTTAAAGAAATATGAAATTATAGTAAATTTTTTATTATTTAAAATTAATGTAATTAATATAAGATTAAAAATTAAAATTTTATTATATTTTATAAAAATATTATATTAAAAAAATTAATTTATTTATTTTTATTAAAATTTGAACAATTTAAAAATTTAATTGATTTTTCTTCAATTTTTTCATTTAAGGTTTTAACAGTGAACCACCCAATTAATTTAGATTTTAAAAAAAATAGTTTATACATACACATAGAATTGAAAAGAATATTCGCAAAGTAACAAATATTTAATTCACTGGAATGGTTTTTTTTTTTTATGTAGAGAAATAAAACAATGCTTCTAAACAAACAGTCATTATTTGATCTTCCAATAGTTATTACAGATTTTAAATCTTTCCAAAGCTTGACTCATTGACCAGGAATAGTGATAGTTGATGAATGTGTTGATACAAGCATTCAGCATCTATCACTCGCAACTCAAAAATTGAGTGTAGACATTTTCTGATTCAATAACAAATAGTGTGAGCATTCACATGACACAGCAAACTTGGAAATGCAGAAAACAATTTCAGAGGGGTTCTGTGTCGTAGGTCTTTGTGCTTCTTTGTTACTTTCTATACTAGGATACAGTGATAGACTCAGAGACCGTGGTTTTGCTTTATTTGATATGGTATATAGTCAAATATTGCTCAGAGATTCCCAAAGATTCCCAATTAATTCTAACAAATAATTTGAGAAAAGAAACTCTTGTTTGAGTCAGGGACTTTTTCTCTGAGAAAGTTAGACCTAATACGAATGCTTATCTTACCCCGTGTTTGTTGCAGCATTTTAAACGCATGTACTTGTTTGGATTTCATGTCAAACCAACAAAAAGTGAAAAAAAAACCACAGAGAATAACTCTGGACTTTATACGGGTCAAATTTTTCTGATATATGCTACCAAACTTGGTCTAAACCCAAAAATAAGTAATTGGTAATAGATAAGAGAGAAAATTAGAATAATTAAGATCTTGATGTAACAAGGAAAAATAGAGAGAGAAAGAATGTTACATAACTGCATGATTTATTAATTATAGCAATATTATTTCTTAAAATAATAATAAGCATTATATTTATTAATATATAGATTAAAGATATAATTAATTTATGAACTGAATTTATAAGATTGAATTAAATCTAAATTTAAAGATAATAAATTAGTTTTATAATAAAAATAAAAAATGAGAGGGTTGAATATGTAGTTTTATATTTCTTTTGGATGTTTATCAATTAACACTCCTAATTATAATATAATATTAATGTTTATTTTAGTGAAGTTTAATAAATTTATTGTATTATCTGTTATCAAATTTTGATCATTCAATCATAAATATTTAATCTTACTCGTTATATCTTACTTTAAAAATATATTAGAGATTTTACCTTTACTAAAGTTATAATAAAAATAAATTAGAGAATACTTATACTGAAGTTACAATCAGATTATACATGTGACTCAACTCCTCATTTTTTTTTATTGTGTTATGATTGAAATACATTGTTAATTTGTTTGGGCATGTTCATCAAAGTGTTTAAATCCCTCTTAGATGGATTCATTGAAATGTTGGATTTTTTTCTTTTATGTATTGTTCAACTTTTTTATTCTCATCTGAAAGATTTCTGATTAGGTGGTCAAAGTCACATACTTATGACCAAATGCAAGCATAACTGGCTCATAAAAGTAATAAGTATTTTATCTATATGTTCAGCAGTTGCGTTATATCAAACAGATTTACCTTAATACCAGTTCAACAAGGCTTTTGCAAAGCCACAAGTGTTGTAGTGAAAACAAAAACAATAGGTTACATCCTAGCTTAATATTATTATCTATAACCTAAATTATGAAGATGGTGTATAAAATGTAACATTTATGATGATTTCAAGGCTTATGGTGCTGGGTGTAGATGTAGTCTAGGTGAGCTTCTAAAGTCATTCTTCTCTGCAAACATTCTTCATCTCCACCTTTGCTGTCCTCCACCCCCAGCAGCTGCTAGATTCAAGAACAGAAATAATTGTAAGATATAATATAAAGATCAATTCAAACACATGGAGGAGAAAACAGTCAATGAAATAGAACTTACCTAATAAACATTTACATCAATGATTATCATAAATTTCTAAAGTAAAACTGTATTTCTAACAGAAGAACAACAAATACCAAAAACATCTGATAAACATGTATGTTTTGATCTCATGTCTCCTACCTTCAAAGATTCACCTCCTTCCAACTCCAAAACAAAGTCCTCCCCTGAGACCTCATTCAGTTTTGATCTGTCTGAAGAAACCAAATTCTATTCAGCAAAACACATTCCAGAAAGAGACCATTAATGGTAGAGACTTAACAACAGCTTACCTAGCTCAGTAGTGAGTGGCCGAGCACATAGTTTTGATGAAGAAACTAGGAAGAAAAGGAAAAACAAGAGGGCTCCAAGGTGATGCAGATTAAGATTCATATTTGAGCACTGGAATGAGAGAGAGAAAAAGGGTGTAGAGAGATGCAGACTATAAAGAGGGGACAGTTGGGTGTTGGCTCCAACAAGCAGCTGAAAATAGATATAAATACATACATGCAAGCAAAGTGGTCACTGTTTCTTACTCACATGAAGATTCCCAAAAGAAGGCACTTCCATTACAATTACAAAACCTCATAAACTGGGCCCAGTCACCACTACTCTCCATGCTAATGTGACGAGACCAGACCAAAACACTATTTCTATATGATGTATGTGGAAGTGCTTTAGTCATTGTCTGCCATAGTGGTCCAACCACAGTCCAAAAAGCATTCATAAACTTCGATGTAGTAATGCTTTGACAGTGTTAACAAGTCAACCTTTAGGACACTCTGACAGCTGTTGCCCAACCTCACGTTTTACCCCTGCTATTCAACACCTGGCTCACTTTATAGTGCCTTTCTAACAAACAGTTAATGATTTGAGAGAACTAGATGTTACACAAGATATGTTGTTTGGGTATTGTACATATAAAATATATTCTTCTGATTTATACTTTACAAAAAAAACATAGTTAAATAAGTCAAAAAACAGCAATTTATCAGTAAGTTATATTATTATCATGAAAAGGAGAGTTAAAATCATCAATGCATCATTCAAATAGAAAGAGAGAAACATTTTGAAAAGAGTTGGAAAGTAATACCTTACCTTTCTAATTAATTAAGTCATGAAAAAGATCATCTAAACCCGAGATTTCCCAAACACTAATATAATAAGGTTTGAAGTTGCTTCCCCACTTGTGATCAAAACTATGTCAGTGGTAAAACCACTGCCACTTTTAGACTATGTTCTTATCTTCTTTGGCAGTATTATTAGTGTCGAATGTATTCTTTGATTCTGCTTCATCCACGACTCTTGTATGCATGCTTCTTATGAACTAATCCATGTCAATAATTTATTCTAACTCCAATTTGCCATGTGGTGTTGCAAGTTCTTGAATGTGATATTTGGCAAGCTTATGATGAAGCTTCAATGTAGCTGCCATATAATGCTGTTTTTTTTATGCTGATAGTGGTTCATCAATAGCTGTGTGCCTCTAAAATATGGTAGATTCGGTCTCTAACCTAGTGCACCGCGTTATGGGAAATTGTGAAGCTGATTGTTACTCCACTTTGGAATTCCGAGTTGGAGGCTTTTATTTATGATTTGTTCTTTTGATAGCTAGATTGAGGCAAAGATTGTGCTTCTCTTTTGGAGGATTTGCATCTTGCTGTCTCTGGCTAGAAACATAAAGAAATTAAAGGAAAAGGCACTGTCGGAATGGGATTCGGCACAAGCATATTTTTTAATTATGTAGAGTAATCACTTAGGAATTGGGTTGGATTATTAAAAAGGTGATTAGCATGCATGATTGCAACCATGACATGATGGTTTTTTCTTCTTTCTATTGTGCCCTGTTGAACAAGGTCCCATTAGGAAAAGAATCTCCAAAACCATGAAAAACAAGTTAAGGTGGGTGGATCACATTCCAACATCTTTTGAAGACAGAGTAAAGTGAAATTTATGCAGTACTATTTCGTATACATTTTGAAGAATAATTATATATTTCGGCACCTTAACAATGTAAACTCCATGTTATCTTCTTCCCACACCCTATCACATATTATGAATATAGTTTTCTCAATTCTAATTCTTTTTCTCTCTGCATTAAGACTCACAAATCTTTTTTTTTTTTTTAAGATTTTAGGTTAAAAAGTTATATCATTTAGAAAATTATAACAAAAATACGTATGATTTTCACTTGGGAGATGGGAATGACATGCCTCAAACAGTTATAGTTGGTAATGATTTGATTCTTGATATTGGTAATTACATATAGTACCACAAATGGACAAGTCATGTTGACTCACCAGTCTGCAATTTTCCAGGATATCATGTGGCATGTCATGCCTCATGCTTTCAATAATAAGATTTGCCAAACTTTGTCCACTTGTCCTCAAGTTCAATTCATGGTAGATCCCTCCAACATGATTCCTTTTATTTCATTATATATACAAAAAAATCTAGTGATTTTCATGATTTTGAGTTTGATATATATATATGATTGTCCAAGGTGGGAGAAGAATATAAATTTATTCTGTTACCACTCATAAATATATTTTTTTTCATGAAAAAAGATAATTTATTTTCCTACCTTCTTTTTATCATGACAAGGGTGAGTTGCCATGTGCATGAAATGATGAGATATTTGGGACAACATGTTTGTTTCCAACATTGTAAACTCAAACCTGGTTGATGCTGATTGTGTTTAGTAACATGTATCATAATTATTAGTTTATGAAAATGTTAGGGGAAGGAATGTAAGTAATATTAAAATATAAGAACAAAATATGTACAAAAGATTGTGTTTGTATATACATAAGTTTTATATTTAGAATTAAGATTAAGAATAATTTATATATATTTTCTTTTCATAATTTATTAAGTTATATTTTAAGAATAAATAAGAATTTTAAAATTAAGAATATCTTATATATAAAAATTATTTTAAAGATATTGTAATTATGAAATCGAAATCATTTTATTTTTTATAAAACATAAATATATAATGTAAATAAAATAATGTGTAATAAAAATTAGATATAATTATAAAAAATTATATTATTATAAAAATTACCTTAAAAATTCAAAGAGTAAATTAATGATAAAGGTGTCAATAAATAAACAAATATGAAATTATGTCTTTCCTATAAAAAACTTTCTTTTCATATAGATGTTACTATGTTTTTTCAACACAAAAACTTTCATTTATAATTTTTTTCTTTTTATATATGATCTAAGTAGTATATTGTACATAATAGAATTATAATATATCTGATTGAAAACCCATTTATAATATAAAGTTATAATAAATTTTACATGTCAATTAGTTCCACTAAACAAGTTATTGTCAAACCATTCTTTGTCTAATGGTAAATTAGGATTTAAAGAGTGTAGATACTAATTTAAGATCTTGTTTAACTTCTTTTTAAGTAATCAAATCTTCATAAAGTTAATTACTTTTTTTAAACAATATTTTTTCTAATTATAAATAATAGATAACGATTTCTATTTTTAAAATCTCTAAAATATTACTAAGTTATATTATATTATATTAAATTCATTTATCGAATGTCTTATTGAAATTAAAAAGAAAAAAAAAATGTGGAAGAGAATAATTAGTTAGGGAACACTGTGAGGTGTGAACAATGAAACCTGGTCAACAGCTAGTGTCTATTTGGTGGGGGTTCTTGATAAAGTATTAATTTTAGTCTATAAGACCCAGCATTTCAAATCAAATCAAGTTCATAACTTTTGGAAAAGCAAGCCACTGAGACATTATATGCTTTTGAATTTTGACATGGTTGGTCTTGATTTTTATTTGTTGAAAATAGAACAAAATGAGTTTTTTTTTTGCCTTTCAAGGACTCAAAAAATGCATCTTTTAGGACTCTATCAAGGATGCAACATAAAAAGCAATACCAAAAACATTTGAGTATTCCTATGGACATTTTTTTTTTTCTTTCCAACTTTATGTGCATTTTTTTTTAGGGCATCGCTGTCCTTTCCTCACATCTTTACCCCAACCCCTGCCATTAAATTATGGGTATGGGGAACAAGTGTCTTTAATATTGGTTAATATATTTAAAATATTTCTTAAAATTTATAATATTGATATTAATGAAAATTTTCCTTTAAGTATGATGAAATTTTTTCTTTAATATATAATAAAATTCCACATATTATATAAAGATATGATAATATTATTGAATACAATTAAATATAATATCACTTTAATAAATTAATTCTTAAGTTAGATATTTCTTATTTTGATTAAAAATCTTATGACCAATTTTAATAATATTAAAAAATAAAACTTCTGGTAAAATAAAATAAAAAATATTTCAGCATTTCTAATAAATATTTCTTTATATATTATCAATAAATAATAAAATTAGTTAAAAAATAATATATCGTTTTATCTATATCCATACCAATAAGAAAGAGTATATCAATACAAAATTTATTGATTAATAAATTTATTGTATTAAAAAATATTATTTTAATAAATTTAATTGATATGAATATATATTTAATTAAACAATTAAATATTTTAAATCCTATATTCATATGTATTCGTGAGAATTCAGTACCATTCAATTTTGAAAACATTACAAGGTAACTGTATTTCAAGGTTGATTTGTTTTGGCGTGGTGGAGACGGGAATCTGAGCTTAGTTTCGTTTATTTAAATTATAATTTATATAAGGTTATATTTGATTAGATTCGATCTATCAATTTGCTTTATAAAATAATAAATATTTTTAAATAAAATAATAATATTATTTAATTATATATATTATAAATTAAATTTAAAAAGTTTCATTATTTAAAAAATAAATATCATAATAAACTTATTAAAATATATTATTTAAAAATAATAAAATTATTAAAAATAAATAGATAGTAATAATAATAATAAGTAAATTTGTAATTTTTATTTTAAATTAAATAAATTCATTATTTTATAATTTATATATTAAATTGTTATAGTTTAAATAAAAAATATTTTAATTAATAAAATTAAAATTTTTATACATTCTTATTTTTATTTAAATATTTTTTAATTAATTAATTTTGAAAAAATATATGAATATTTTTTTAAAATTTAATTAAGTCAAAATTAATTTATTAACTTATTCACCTAAAATAATTAAAAAAATTTAACTGTTTTAAAATATATTTCAACACCACAAATTTATTTTATTTGATGATACCCGTTTTTACTATTAATAATGTCACCAAATTGGGCCAAAGATTAATAACGTCGCTAATCTCTTTACCGACAAACAAACCCAAATTTAATTTTGTATAATTCTCTGTGTCTCTGTCACGTTGTCTTGTCTCTGTAACTGAAAACACAAAAATATATTTTTTTTCTTCTATATATCTACAGTTTAAATTTTTCTAATTTGTCTGGTTTTGAATATGTACCTGAATTTCGATTGTTCTATAAGTTGTAAACATATGCAATGCTGATCCTATGAACATATATTTGTTAATTTTAAGTGTTGTTGAACATTTTTAATAAATCATCCCTTAAAAATTAAGTGGAATCTAATACTTATCTTAAAAATATTAGGACATCCCTTTAATACTGAGGTATCCCAATACCCAAGCTGTTGTAGAATTTCAAGTTTCTATTAGTTTGGTTGCAGTATTTGAATATTCAAAATATAATTTTAATTCTTAGATT